GCCCTTGTTGTCAAAATAAAGGGACGAATAGTGGTATTTTAGTCAGGGAGTGCCCTTTGTTTCAACTGAGTTCCTCACATCAAAAAGTCTCTGGTGATCTTTGATTGTTATCACTACTATATTTATTTTTGTCTTTATTTTTACTACTATTATCATTGATAATATTGATAGTTTTGCTATTGTTTTTGTTTCTTACTTAACCCATTCCCGACGGGCATGCTATGCCATGCCTACTGTGAGATTACTTGTTGGATTGTTTTTATACATAGATGGCTACACTTGTACTAAATCACCAATGAGCCAGTTACAAGTACTGCCTGTCTCGCCCGTTCACCCTTTTCTTTGATTTATGAAAAATTTTACGTTATCTTATTTTGCTGTTACTAATGTTAAAAGCATTATAAAAATTATAATGTTTATAATAAGAATAACACCATCGATTTTCATGGCACTAGTGAAAAATATGTTTTTCCTGCCATTTCAAATCAGGCACTAACAGAGCCATCTATGGGAGACATTTCGCAAAAAAATATAGAAAATAGGCACAGCATTTTCCCCATTTTTTGTTCATTTTCCCCGGCGGCAATGGGTTAATCTGATTAGATGCAGTAGGAGTAGTAACTTATTTTTTACCTATTTTTGTTACATTCATTTATTCATTATTTCCCTGGGATCTGTTAGTTTTTTCAATTGTAATGATTTTCAGGTTCACAATTTATTATACTGGTGGAGGAGTCACCCAGATCCTACACAAAGAATGTTGATATGGGCAAGTGAAGAGTCAGGTTATAGACATCTCTACCTGTTTTTGACGCAGTTGTCTCCCCCCACCAGTACTGAGGATCAGCCTTCACACGAAGACCAAGGTATTGCATTTGAATGTTTGTTTGTCATGAAGATTGAGGAGCATTGTGTGTGTTTGTATGTGTTGATGTTTTAGGTAGGCCTAAGGCTAGTCTTCATGAGTCTTTTTATAGCTATTTAATATTTTATAGTCTATTAATTTTCTCTTATCATGATAGTAAAACAAAGAATTATAATTGTAATTCCTTAGTTATTGCAGAATTGCGTTTCGAGGGTTGATTGTGTACATTGATAAACACTAGAGTTTCAGACAGTAATGACTGTATGTGGGAAGAGATCTTGAGGTAGATTATCAAAGAATATTTAAGATTTTTTTTTTATACGAATGAGTGTTGAAAACTAAATCATCTTTCAGGTTTAGTGTCGGCTCAACTTGTTCAAAAGATTGCTCTTACTCGAGGAGACTGGTCAGTCACCGGCAATAGCATCTGGGTCGATGAAGCACGTCGATTAGTCTACTTCACAGGGTTGCGAGATTCCCCCTTAGAGCAGCACTTGTATGTTACTTCTATATCCCATCCAGGAGGACTTGTGCAAAGACTAACTGAGCCAGGTTTCTCCCACCAAGTGGCACTAAACCAGGTAGAGTTTTTGTTTAAGTGGACATGTTAGGTGTTTTGGTAGTAGACAAATATCATATAAGGTAAAGGACAAGGAGCAAATGATATGTATATGATGCACCACTTGTGATAAAGTTTCTTTCCTGTTAAAGTTAAATATAAATGACTTTAATCTTAACATATCAGTTGCTGGTAGAATGAAAGAATATATGTTATTTGTATTGAGATAATCCTGATAGATAAAGTTTTGATATCTTTAATTTTTCATGTAAGGAGATATCTTCCTTTTATTATTTCATTGTAATGGTATTTGTCATTCTCATTGTCTCCACAGGAGTGTACAGTATTTACCAGTGTATACAGCAGTATAGAAGTCCCATCCCAGAGCAAAGTAGTGACAATAACACCTCTTGATACACCTAACAGCAGTGGACACCTGGTATGGGTGTCAGTCCTGGGTGACCTCGTAAATGAGCCTAGTGAGTTCTTAAATTTGTTTGTTATTTGACTAATGTCAGTTTAGGATGTTTTTACTTTGATTAATTGTAACCCTGGTGACATTTGTTTTTCTAATGTTTAATGTTTGAATTAGATTTAAGATTTCAAGTGGTTGAAAAAACAGTCATATAGATGGAGTTAGAACAAGGTGTTAAAACTTATTGCATATTTGATTTTTGTATGAAGCATATTGTTTAATAAAAAGTAGTCCTTTTGAGAATTCTGTTTATTTTATGTTCTAACATAGATTTACCAAAAGTAAGAGTGAATGCTAAGAGGTGAAAAGGAGTTATTAGTTATTTGACAGTTGTAGGCAGTGTTTCATTGTGCAAGTGCCTTTCATATAAAGGCTTAATCTATTTATTTTTTCTTCCTGTTCTAGTTTCAGAGGGCCTTAGAGAGATCAAGCCTCTGGTTGTACCTGAGGTGTTTACTACCAGAATAAACAGTGGTGATGTTATCTACTCCATGGTATTCAAGCCCCACAACTTCACACCGGGAAGAAAGTATCCAACTGTTCTTAGTATATATGGAGGTCCACAAGTCCAACTGGTATCTAACACTTTTAAGGTAAAAGAAAAGATTTGTTGATGTTTTTGATTTAATTGAAATTTATATTTTAGTGGTCTATTCAGAAATCGAAGACCGTGTTTGATGTAGAAGTGCATAAAGTCATGGTATTGATAAGCTTTTTAGTAGTTGAAGGTCTTCAGTGGGATGCTAGTGTGCTTGGTAATACACCATTTCATGACTTTTAAAAAGTTTAATGTTTTTGAATATGTGTTTTTAATCTTTATAGTTACATGACTTTTTTTCTTCTTTTTTCAGGGCTTTAGACACATGAGAACACATATGTTAGCAGCTCATGGATTCTGTGTCGTGAGCATAGATTCTCGTGGGTCAGATAACAGAGGTGTTGGATTTCAGGCTCATCTTGTGAATCGCATGGTTAGTGTGTATTTCTGGTTGATTTACTTAATTTAGGTAGATGAATGGTGTAATCACACCAAGGAAAACAAATGCATTGATTCATAAGTAATGATATATTGTTATCAGAGTCAGGATATGAAAAAGCCATACTTTTTTTTTTTTTTTTTTTACCAAGAAATATCAATAAACACTATTCCTTTCATACAGGGAACAGTGGAAATAGAAGATCAAGTGGAGGTCCTTCAGCTCCTTGCTGGACAATGTGATTATATGGATCTCACACGACTTGCCGTTACTGGCTGGTCATATGGTGGCTACCTCTCCCTCATGGCTCTAGCTCAGCGTCCTGATATCTTTAAGTAAGAAAATTTACTAAGGATTTTCATCTTTTGAATTGTATCCAATTTAATGTGTCAAGTAGTGCCAATTGAATATGCTTCCTGGCCTTTTTAATGGTGAACAGATTTTTAATTACTGAGGCTCTTCTTTGTATTTTGGTCATATATCAGAGTAGTTTTACTGCAGTAACTTACTTCAAATTATAAAGTCACCTATCCAGATACAGGGAATATAATTAGCTTTGTTTCACATTTTTAGGGTAGCAATAGCTGGAGCTCCAGTTGTATCATGGGGCCTCTATGACACTGGCTACACAGAACGCTACATGGATTTGCCCACAGTTAACCCTGAGGGTTACCGCAATGGCTCCGTCCTCTCTTATGTCAACAACCTCCCAGATGAGTGAGTAGGAAGGGGTCTTTCATGAGAACTTATCATGCATGTAACATGAACAGAAGTTAACAATATTATATCTTCATGAAGACAATAATTTGGCCTATGATGCCCATGCTCACGAAGGGACCATATACCTCTATCCCCAGAGAGAATCGGTTGCTCATCGTCCAGGGGATGATTGATGAGAATGTTCACTTTTCCCACACAAATCAACTTATCCAAGCTCTCATCAAGGCGGGCAAACCTTACCAGCTTCAGGTATGTGTGATATATTTTGAGTTTCCCTTAACCCCTTCTTTACCAATATTATTTTAGCATGCTTATAGATGTATTGTACTAGATCTATGACATTGGTGTATGCTTTCAAATGGGACAGGAAAGTTTGGCAAGGCTGGTGTTGAGGTCCTAGGTTGACAGAAGTGTGTTTTGCCAGCAGATGATGTTTGATTTCATGAAATTATATTATCCCAATGCCTCCTGGCACTGGCTAAAATGCAGAAAGGATTAAACAACAGGGTACACATAAACATGGCAGCATGTACCACATTGGAGTAACTGGCACACTTATCTATATGCCAGTGGTCCTAGTTTGTGGCTGACTCATACATATATGATAGTATTAGGCATACATGCTATTAGTGGCCAAAATTCCCACAAAAGCATCCAGCCAAAGTCTACATAGTAGAAGGGCTGTAATCTATGAACTGTGAAATCAACTACATGATCAACTTGTCCCCAAGGTTATATCACACAAAAGCAGCAAATTAGGACAGTTTTGAGTCTATCAATGATATGCTTGTTTATGTGAAGCAACTACTGTCAAAGGAATCTTTTTTCTTTTTTTTTTGTATTAGATTGTCTGGGTAGGGAGAGTGAGTGGGGGTGAGAGTGAGTGTAAGTGAAAATGATTTTTTTCTTTTCTTTTCTTTTTCTTTCTTTCTTTCCTTCTTTCTGGTGTGTATTACATTGACTGTATGTGGGGGGGGGGGGGTACATGTGTGTGTGTGTGTGCGTGTGTGGGTACATGTGTGTGTGTGTGGGTACGTGTGTGCATGTGTGGGTACGTGTATGTGCTTGTGTGGGTACGCGTGTGTGCTTGTGTAGGTGTGTGTGTGTGGGTATGTGTGTGTGTGTGTGGGTATGTGTGTGCGTGTGTGTGTACGTGTGTGTGTGTGTGTGTGTGTGGGTATGTGTGTGTGTGTGTGTGGGTATGTGTGTGTGTGTGTGGGTATGTGTGTGTGTGTATGTGTGTGTGGGTACGCGTGTGTGCATGTGTGTGCGTGTGTGCATGAGTATGAGAGAGTGAGAGAGTGTGAGTATGAGAGTGAGAGAGTGTGAGTATGAGAGAGTGAGAGTGTGAGTATGAGAGAGTGAGAGTGTGAGTATGAGAGAGTGAGAGAGTGTGAGTATGAGAGAGTGAGAGAGTGTGAGTATGAGAGAGTGAGAGAGTGTGAGTATGAGAGAGTGAGAGAGTGTGAGTATGAGAGAGTGAGAGAGTGTGAGTATGAGAGAGTGAGAGAGTGTGAGTATGAGAGAGTGAGAGAGTGTGAGTATGAGAGAGTGAGAGAGTGTGAGTATGAGAGAGTGAGAGAGTGTGAGTATGAGAGAGTGAGAGAGTGTGAGTATGAGAGAGTGAGAGAGTGTGAGTATGAGAGAGTGAGAGAGTGTGAGTATGAGAGAGTGAGAGAGTGTGAGTATGAGAGAGTGAGAGAGTGTGAGTATGAGAGAGTGAGAGAGTGTGAGTATGAGAGAGTGAGAGAGTGTGAGTATGAGAGAGTGAGAGTGTGAGTATGAGAGAGTGTGAGTGTGAGAGAGTGTGAGTGTGAGAGAGTGAGAGAGTGTGAGTATGAGAGAGTGAAGGAGTGTGAGTATGAGAGAGTGAGAGAGTGTGAGTATGAGAGAGTGAGAGAGTGTGAGTATGAGAGAGTGAGAGAGTGTGAGTATGAGAGAGTGAGAGAGTGTGAGTGTGAGTATGAGAGATTGAGAGAGTGTGAGTATGAGAGAGTGAGAGAGTGTGAGTATGAGAGAGTGAGAGAGTGTGAGTATGAGAGAGTGATGAGAGGTGTGCGTATGAGAGAGTGAGAGAGTGTGAGTATGAGAGAGAGAGAGACGTGTGAGTATGAGAGAGTGAGAGAGTGTGAGTATGAGAGAGTGAGAGAGTGTGAGTATGAGCGAGTGTGAGTATGAGTGAGTATGAGCGAGTGTGAGTATGAGCGAGTGTGAGTATGAGTGAGTGAGAGTGTGTGAGTATGAGAGAGTGAGAGTATGAGAGAGTGAGAGAGTGAGAGTGTGTGAGTATGAGCGAGTGAGAGTGTGTGAGTATGAGAGAGTGAGTGTGTGTGAGTATGAGAGAGTGAGAGTATGAGAGAGTGAGAGTGTGTGAGTATGAGCGAGTGAGAGTGTGTGAGTATGAGAGAGTGAGAGTGTGTGAGTATGAGAGAGTGAGAGTGTGTGAGTATGAGAGAGTGAGAGTGTGTGAGTATGAGAGAGTGAGAGTGTGTGAGTATGAGCGAATGAGTGTGATCACAAACAAGTAAATATGTGCACACAAGTGAGTGAGTACATGAACACAAGCGAGTGAGTATGTGAGCGTGACCGAATACATGACAATTTGTAAGTGTGAGTGAGAGTATGTAGTGTGAGTGAGTAAGACTGTGAGTGTAAATGAGTGAGTGTATTAACATGAGGGAGCAAGGAGCAAGCGAACGCGTGAGTGGAAGCATGTGAGTTAATGAGAGAGAGGGGGGGGAGGGTTGGATTTAGTGTAAAATGTACATTACTGGCAGGGGGGTGGTTTGTTTAGATTGTGGTGGCAGATTGGTAAGGAAGGAAATCTCTGTGAGTGAGTGAGTTACAAGAGTGCAAATGACTATGATTGTTGTTCATCTCACAATATAATATTTGGTGCTGCTTTGGTAGTCCGGTACAGTTTTCTTTGTTTTGTCAAATTTTTGGTTAGATGTTGACTGTATTTTGATAATCTCTTTTTTTTTCCAGATTTACCCCCACGAGCGCCACTGCTTGCGTCAGCTTGACTCGAATGAACATTATGAAACCAAGCTGCTCTCTTTCCTCTTAAATAACCTATGATGGAAATGGAAATTAGATTTTGAAATCTTTGTTTGTCTCATGAAATCTGTTCTGCAAATCTGGTTTGTTAGTCATTTTGTTCTTTGTCGGAAGTGTTTTTAGTGCTTTGTGCTTTTTAGAGGCACAGCTGACGCAAGCATCGTAGAGATGTTGACAGAAGTGTATGACTGAGTGTCAGGATCTTGGTAATAGAAATGTTGAAACTCAGCACCAGCACCAGTTAAGATTTACGAAGACAGTGATTTACACATTAATTTGTTTAGGCTTGTATAAAAATAGCAGAAAAAAAAAAAAAAATTGATCAAGACCTGTGTTGTCATACACTGGAAGTGGTGGGTGAAGCAAACCAAATGTAGGTTTTATAAGCAATATGAAGGACTTGTTTATCATAGACAGAGGGTTGTTAGCAGGATACCTAACAACCTGTTCTTGGTACTGAATGAGTTTTCCAGAAGATGTACGGATATGTGATACCTAGACAGATATTTGTAACTGTATCTATTTTTCTTTTAGTTTGTTATGAAGTAATAAAGAACAGTATAGAAGTTAACATTACTGTAGTGCTTTTTAAAAGGAGATTTTATGGGTTTTTCTTTTTTCTTTCATATCTGCAAGGAAAGGGTGTAATATTTCAGAAGAGAAAAGGCACTCTTTTTAAGTCATAAGTCAGGTTTTTTTTTTTTTTTTTTTTTTTTTATGTTTATGCTGATTTTACAATTGCCGTGGTAGCTAGTCTTACCATTTTATTCAGTCTAAACATATTTTAATACTCATCTTTTATTTTTATTTTTGTTATTTTATAAATCTTCATTCTGTATTTCTTCCTTCTGCTTTACTTCGTTTTAAAATTATATTTTAGGCTGTAAATCTGAGAAAAAAAGATCCATTACGGTTTGTGCTTACCACAGCTTGAAGGCATTGTTTTCTTCACAGTGCAGTTCCAGATATTTAATAAAGATGATAATTAGTCATCGCGTTAGGTAGGGTCAACAAGTCTCCTAAGTGGATTGCCTCTTGCGTACTGGGTGTGAAATGCAGCTTGGCGAGAAGAGGTGTACTGTAATCGCAGAGTCCATCATTGCCTTTTTGCAATGTCAGTACAACCATCTTGATTACAGTAGAAAATGTATGGTGTAATTGGTTACTGTAAAATGAATGTATGGTCATGTTAGCTGTGTTGTGGTTTTGAGTAACAAGTGTTTGTCAATAGGATATTTGTATTCTGACTTCAAGGACCTTCCACAGAGTAAATCAGAATTCGTATTTGATGATGATAAATCACGTCTTAAATCTTTTTTTTTTTTTTTTGTATGAGTAACTGTGTGTGTGCGAGTGTGTGCATGTGTGTGTGTGCTTGTGTGTGTAATTGGGTTTATATTTGAATGTGTATGCATAGTCTGTGTCTGTGTATTTCTGGCATCACTGTAATTATGTTGTGTGACTGATAGGCTGACTTTGAAATACTCAGTAAAACTTAGTTTGACTTTATGAATTTTGCTCTAAAGAAAGCTCATTTTTGAGAACTGGTGCTAGAGAAAGAAATAATTATTTGCTTTCATTGTAAAAGTAGTCATTACAACTGGGCATCTGCTACAGTCCTTGAAGCAGATCTGTGAGTAAATTATGGTTGGAAACATCACACCAGCAATCAAGGTCACCTCATGGTCTTGTGTATGTTTATCATGAGGCCTTAACAGGTTTTGAATGACTTGGCAAACACCTAGAAAGGCATTCACTTTTCATTCTAGTAATCAGAATTAAATGTACTGATGTTTTCAAGAACATTGAAGTGAGTCAGATTTTTCATTTTGTACGAGGGAGAAGGTGCATAAACAACAACTTTTGTAAATAGTTACTGATTTTACTTGAAAGAGAAGCTGGGAGACTAGGATAAAATAAATTGTATTAGACTAAGTACCATCTAGTCACATAAGCATCAATTAATTGTAAGAAATGGATGGGTTTAACTTTCAGTTTTATTTTGTGAGTTTGCTTTAATTATTGCCATTACTAATATATTTACTGTATTTCTACAATTATTTATATATATTACTTTTCTCTTATTAAAAAAAATAAAACTTTTAATCAAGAAAAATTAATGATTGGTCATATATTGTAAGGAAGGTTATAATGTCAGTGGATATTTCTTTTTTTTGACAGAAATTGTTAAAAAAAAATATATGATTTGGAAAGACTGACCATGAGCATTGTAATTATTGAATCTATGACCTGCAATAGGCCATTCTGAGGTATGGGTTGTACCCATTATGATAGCACATTATTGACCAGGGTCAGTTTGACATGGATACCACTTCATTGTGTAGGTCTTGGGAATATTTGCTGCTGTACAGTTAGTGAAATGTGAACACTGTAGAAACTGCTTTCCATTAAACTAGTTAGTAATGAGATTTTAGCATTGTTGTGCATCATTGTAAAATGTGTTTTGTATAGTATTTTATTGCAAATCTGAGACAGATTTCACTGTCTTTTTTCTAATTCTTGTTTTTAATTATAAACAAATACTTCACATAGCGCACATGTGAAACTTACCTTTTGTTTGGATTTCAATATTTCCATCATATTTCAGTCCTTACAGCTGCTGATCCCAGTGTTGTAGACAATGCTAAGTTGATACAAAATTGGGAAAATGGAACTTGCTTTGTCATTATGGTGAGAATGATCTAAAGTCATGTCCTTTGAGCATAAAATATTTGATAAATAATTTTATATCTTCCTTTAAAGATCTGTCATTAGTAATCATTTTGCATTGTGTGTGTGTGTGTGTGTGTGTGGCTGTGCATGTGTTTTCACATAGGCATTTGCATATCATACACTTCATGTGTGTGTGTGTGTGTGTGTGCCTGCCTGTGTACCTGTATGTGTCGAGGAATACTTTGTTGAAGAGATGAGATGCATATTAGAATGGAGTGAGGTGGGTGGATGCATTTCTACCTCCACACTTAAAAAGGATTTTGTTGTACACATTTTTATATCAAATTATCCAACTGTAGCTCCTCCTCCAGAACTGGCATATTGCTTCCTTCTGTTAATTTGACTCGTTTTAATTGCATTTTTGGTTTAATATCAATAATGATATAGTCATGTACAAATGAGTGAGAAAGCAGTTGTACATAAAGTCTGTATGTATATATGGGTGTGTATTGGCATTGCAAACATTGGATGTCCTAAAAGTTTTTTGATGTTTGTGTGGATGAGGAATGGTGTGTGCAGATCATTGCATATTGTTACTCTAGATTTTGTTATTTCATATGTGTTTTTATGCCTGTGCATATCATATGTTGTTGAATTGTAAAACAATGCTT